TCTGACATGGAGTATTTCGTTCTCCAAACGCTCTACCCGAGCTAACAATATAGGATTATGATTAACTATTATTATGCGAAACTGCAGCAGAACCATCTCTATTATTATATCAAAAACTCAAACCATGCCTCCCTTAGTATGATGGGAAGTTAAAGACATTCCAACTCTTTTTCCCATCTGCATATCTTGATCCGCTGCTAGAGTCTCATCTTGAGCTCTTTCAATGGCCTTAGCTCAGTTGATAACTTCTTACAAGCTGGGTATGTTTAAATCCAACATCATCTCTTTCAACTTTGGCCTCAAGCCTTCAATGAACCAATCACGTCGAGCCTTGTCATTAGGAACTACCTCAGTAGCAAAATGACTCAGCTTATTATACTCAGCCTCGTACTCATGTACTGCTCGATCGCCTTGTTTTAGATTGAGAAACTTCAGCAGCATCACCCTCCTAAACTGCTCCCTAATATACTTGTTCTTAAACTAATCTTGAAATAATTTCCATGTCACTTGCTCAGGTGGTGCATACATTGTAGTGTTTGTCCACCACACCCAAGCTGATCCTCGGAGTAACGATACAGCTCCACCCAGCTTTTCTGAATCTGAGCATTGAAGATTTTCCAGCATTATCATAACGTCTTTTAACCATAAATCATCATCTATCGGACCTTCACCCTCTTCTTCACAAAACTCAAGAGCTCCCAAACTTCTTAACTCCTTTAGAATTAACATATGCGGTGCTGGAGGAGCAGGGGGAGGCGGAGGAGGTTGAAACTGAGTAAGGATGGCATCGAGAACCTTTATAAAAGCTCCAAACTCTGGCACTGACATACCCTGATGTATCGGTGCACTAGCATTTTCTGACAGAATCAGATGCTCACTATTAGCATCATAGCTCTCGCTACCTGACCCTTCTCTATTTTCTTGATCAGTCACTCTCCGTAAATTCGTAGGATCCGACATCTAATAGAACATACATAATGATAACATTTAAGTTAGTGAGGAGTAACATCAATCATATTATATTTACTCTACATCAATAACCTTGACATCTTAGTGGCATGTAAAACCCCTTTTTACAGTAAAATTACCCGATTTCGGTCGAGAATCGGCTAAACCTGTAGCTTTGATACCAATAAATGTAACACCCATTTCCCGTATACATTTCCGTACACGAGTCACAGATGTTACATAACTTTTAAAACTTTATGCTTTTGAAAAAACCATTAAAATTTTGTTTTAAAATCTTAAAACATTAAGTTTAATAATTATAAAACTTTTCATTAACTTATAGTACATAAACAAATATTAAAGTTGGAGCATATTAAAATTTTACATCATCGTAAATCAACTATTTTTCAGAGCATTTTCATAATTTGATTACATGCCAACTAGCAACATCAAAAGTAGACATATTTTTCATACAATTATTGATTAGGCGACCCTTGATTTGTGATGTCAGTTGCACTCCTTACTCCGCTCATATTAATACCTATGCTTGAAATTAACACACGCTAAGTAATCACTTAGTGAGGCATAACAAATAATAAGGTAAATTCTAAACACGAGTATATTATAACAATTCGAATACCAATTGATTATTACAATTCATTATAAATTTTATGGTTTGCACACATAGTGCCAATACGGTAATTCACAAACTCGTTATGAGTTACGTGGGGTTGCACACATAGTGCCAATATGGAAATTCATAAACTTATTATGAATTTCTTAGTTGCACACATAGTGCCCATTCGGTAAATGCAATACATACATTAAGAAAAAATACATCTATAACTATCATAACATATAAATACATAATAAATGCACTCACCTGGTATGCCTCGATATTATACCCAAAATGTAAATCCGACTAATCAGCGACTTTATTTTTGCCTTTCTGTTTGCATGACTCGGGAGCTTGATTACGATCTACACAAGCATCTGTAATCATACAAACCATACAAATGTAAGTTTACTTTCTAAAATTATACACATTAATAATACTTAAAAGAACTATTATTCTCGAATTCTATTTAAGCTCATTCTAACCTAAAATTTTAGGTTGCTTAGTATCGGTACCCCTTCTATGGTTTCAATACTTCTATATTATGGTATCAATACTCCCTTCAGTACCGATACCATTTCTGCATTCTAAAATCCATGGTATCAATACCTTCATATTAGTATCGATACCCACAACAGTATCGATATTGCTTGCATCAGTATTGATATTGTTCGTCGTATTTCCCCAAATTTGAAGCTATAGTATTGACACCGTTCTTCCAATAACAATACCCTTACCCAGATTTTCAAATTTTCAGCTCGAATTTTACCCAAATTCCTTTAAATTCTCTTTCTTATACCTCCAACAATACCCTTAAACTTAACATCACTTAACCCAACTAACTTTCCTTCATTAATCTTCCTATAACATCCAAATTCTCTAAAGAACACTCCAAACCAAAAATCACACTACTTTTTCCAACATGTTTTTAATCACATCCAAGGCTTCTAATCTCTTATTTACTTCTTTGACAAGTTAAAAATGCCTTAAATCTTCCATAACTAACCATATTTCATCAAATCATTTTAAAACCCATTTTATGAAATATCATATAAAACCTTTATCTCTTAGATTTAATCCTCCTTGAACCTTCCTTAGTCTCTATATTACTTAAGGCTTGAAAACCAACCTAAAAACGAAAATAAAAACCAACTAATTAAAGCCTTACCTTTGCTAGGGAGCTCGGGACATGAGGAAGAAGAAGAGGAGAGAACTTTCAGACTTATCCCTTAATTTCTTCTATTCATTTTTATTTAATAACCCCATTTTAAATGAATATTAAATTCATTTCATCTAAAGGACCAATTTGCCCCTCCATTCTTTCATTCTTACCAATAAGTCCCAACCATAATTTCTTAAATCATTCCTCATACTTTTCAATTTTACTCAATTTAACCCACTAGAATTTAAGTTATTTCACTATGGTCACATATTCGATATTTGGGGTATTATAATTATACTTGCTTGATAAATGCTTTTAATTTGTTTTATTTTTGCATGTGTTTTCCGATGGGTTTTCGAAATAATAACACTCAAATTGATATTGATAATAGTAATAACTTTTCATTTCGGTTGGAGCAATAAATGACTGTTCTAAGGCATGAGAAGTCATTTATTCTCGATTGAAAATAATTTGATATTATCATTCTCTCTCGAATTAATATTGATTTTTAAGATGAAATAGTGATATCTCTTCATTTCGATTGGATCAATAAATGATTGCTTTAAGGTATCAGAGGTCATTTATTTTCGATTGGAAATAATTATATATTATCGTTTTCACTCGAATCGATATTGAATTTTAAGACGGAATAGTGATATCTCTTAATTTTGATTGGAGTAATAAATGACTGCTTTAATTTATAAGAGGTCATTTATTTTCGATTATAAATAATTAGATATTATCGTTTTCACTCTTAAAATTATTTTCGGTGTTGTTATTTTGAATTAATAGTGAACTTTATAATGAAATTTTAATATTTCTTTATTTCGATTGGAGTAAGAATCGATTGCTTCAAGGTATGAGAGATCGATTCTTCTCGATAAGAAATAATTAAATACTATTATGATCATCCAAAAATTCAAAGAATATTATTTTGTAGGGGATCTTAAATTAAATTAGACTCGAACTCGTAAATTCATTGCAAAGACAACTAATTAATCGACTATGTACTGATTTAGGGCGCTTTGGGGGTACTAATCCTTCCCCACACGTAACCGACTCTCGAACTCAAATTTTGGTAACGCATATCGGGAATTTGTTGTTTTAATTAAAATGACATATTTTTTGTGCCCAATCACACTCTAATCGAAGATTGATGACGACTCCTCGAACTACGTTTTATCGTTAACCGATCATTTAAAATTATTTCGAAACGAGACTCCCCTTTTCTCCCTTCGTAAAAAAACGTTTTGAGGATCTTTAATTTCAAACTCATTTGCAATCATCACCAGTCATTTCTTGTCATCATTTCTGTCAACGAACAATCACCCATAGGTCTTCTTTCATCTAATAATTGATCATCGCTCTTATTGTTACTTTAAAACTTTAAAATATCAAATACTCAAACCCATAGTCTTAAACCCTAATTTTTAATTTATAAAATCTTTAATTTCCCGATCATTGGTTGTGCAGGGAAGGGGTGAATTTGCGCGCATGAATTGGACGGGGGAATCTGCGCATCAATCGGACGATGGTGGTGGTGGGTGGGTGGGTGAATTGGAATTGGCGGTGGTGCCAGGGAAGGAATTAAAAATTATATATTTTTAAATTTTTTTAATTAAAAATTTACTAATATTTTTATTTTTAAGAAAATAGAATTTTCAAAAAATAATATAGAAATGTCGTGTGTTAGATAACGATTTTTTAACGTTCATTACAGTCCAGACACCTAAAAGTATAACATCGGAGACGTTAAATACATATTTTTATCAAAAAATTATTTATACACCTAAAGTTAACAAGTATAATGTAGACATTTATTTTTGCATTAAGCCTTACACTTTTAAGACCCAATCAAATTTTAATCCAAATGGAAAAAAAATCTATTAAATCTAAATTAATATAACTATTTAAAAAAAATCGATTAATTTGATGACCAACCAAATTAACTGAATTTTTCTCAATTTGATTAATAATTTCCAAAAATAATTGGTTCAATTAACGGTTAAAGTAAAAATAAATCAATTAATTTGGTTTTGCTCAATTTAATTGGGTTAATGAACAAATTAACCATTTGAACATTTGATTTGATCGATAATTGAAATAACAGTTTGAAAATCGCTAATTAAGGGTGACTTTTGAGGTTATGGCTTGATACATTCATGTCTTATGTGGGGTACGTAGAACCCTAACATTTTCTGTGCAAGTTTGGTTCACTACTTCTACAACAGAAGTACTACAAGCAACAATCGCACGGGTGAAACATAGCAAAACAATAATGTCAGCAAAAGGATAAAAAAGGGAAACCTACAGGATCATGTGCTCCAACAACAAATTTACTTATCCACATTGTCTAGTTGCTAACCAACGGAGCTGTATTTTACCATAAAATTCACAAACCATCTTTTTGACTTACAGCAGCACCCCACTCTTTTCCTCCTTCACTTCCCTCATCAGCACATAAAAAGCTTTGTAACCCTTTTATCATCATCAACCTCATCACATTCTATTCAAAGTTTCAAAATCGGAGAATCAATACCAAAAAATCTTCGTTTTGATGGATTCCCTTTGGTCACCATGGCGAAACTTGTTTGTGTTTCTAATGGCCTATTTGTCCTCGGTAGCCTTATCATCATCGCCGTGGTCGCCAGAACACATACGATACTTAACTATATCGGCTGCACTGGCAATCTTGCCGAGTGCACCGCTAGCCTCTTCTGCAAGTTTACCCCCCAATATCGAGCCTTTGTTCCCTACTCCAAATGGTGTGGTGCCTTCTCCAACTGATTCATCGGTGCCCATGATTCCTTCGAGCCCCAGTCCCCTGAATCCGGATGACATCTTGGCTCCGGCTCCTGGTTTCGCTATTTCTCCAGCTGACCCTTTGCCGGTATCCACTTCGGTTTATCCAACATCACCTTGTGCTCTAGAATCTCCAGCTTTGTTTATTGCAGTAGCTGTCTGGTGTGTGAATTTCTGTTTAGTGCAACCCCAATTAGCCGGCGTAGTAGTTCCACTCTGAATTTTTGTAATATATATTGCTTAGTTTGATTTGATTGTCCTGTGAAAATGTATGCCATTGTTGTTGGAAACTTTGTTTAGATATAATGTCAAAATCTTCTTTTCTAATTCACTAGATTTGCAGCATAAACATTTCTAAATCTCAAAGAGAAGCTCTGTTTTGGTACAAAAAATAACTTTATATATAGTATTAGCAAAAAGACTACATTAAGTTCAGCATCTTTTCACAAAGGAAAAACAAAAACAACGATGAAACAAATTGAACAGAAGAATAGCACAATCTGAGGTAAAACATGTATAAAAATGCTTCTAACCTGAACTTATATACGTATATGAATATGTATATGCTATTTGCCTTGATGTAACCTAACCTGAAAACTACAGAGCAACGACGCTAGGACCAGATTTTGGAGATCCTTTGAATAACATCCCGAAAAGTCCTCCCTTTACTTTGTTGAAATCAAGGGGACTCCATTTCCTTAGGGGTGGTGCTTTAGCAATACTCTTCTTAAGCTCCATATTCTCATCCTTAAGCATTTCGACAGCCAAACTGAGTTGTCGAATCACCTCTTTCTTCAATTCGTCTTTCTCGATTATTTGAGCCTTCTGAGCCTCGTTCACTTCTTTCAGCTTCTCTATTTCCTCCCTGTCGTAACCGTCTTTCGGTTGGACCCCAGAATTGGGCTTCGACTTGAAAAATGTGATTGGAGTCGCCACCGATTATTTATTTAAAAAAATAAATAGGTTAATCGGATAACTTATATCTTACCTGATCTGCGTCTTACCAAAGATATGTCGGATTCGGGAGTCGGTTACGGTCAAGGAAGGATTAGCACCATTGAACCGCCCTTTCGGTACTACGTAATTTCCAGTTGTTTTTAATTAAGAAAATCGAAAGTTAAAATTTAAAGGTAACATATGATCCAAAATTACTTACCTCCGATCAATTTGAAAGAGTACCCTTAAAAAGTCGAGAAACGCGTTAAAGGAAAAGAAAATAAGAGTAAATGAAATAAAGAAAATAGAAGGAAAAAAAATAAAAAAAAAATGATGAAAAACTAAAAGAGGAATAAAAACATATAATTATTAAGTGCAAAATAATAATAATGATAATAAGTAGTAAAATAAAAAAACGCAATCACACCAAAAAAGTAAAAAAAAAAGTCAAGGTTTGGTGAAGTATAACTGTCGGGAAGGAAAAAGACGATAAGGGGTGGGACCGTAGTTAATAAATGAGTGTGATGTATCCCTATAATATAGTAAGAATGAATAAACAAAAAAACATTATGATATAATATATATATATAATAAATATTATAACAAAAAAAATAATTTAATAAAGTAAAATAATAATGTAATATAATATAAATACATGAAAACAAAAAAAATAAAGAAGTATAAAATATAAAAATATAATTAAATGTATATATATGCATATGTTTAAAAAAAGTAAAAATAAAAATAAAATACAATAAAAAATATACATATAATGATAATAATAGTAGCAAAAGAGAAAAATATATTTATATACGTTAATAGTAAAATAATAATAAATATAATAGTTATAAATATATATATATAATAACTTTAAAAAACATTAAAATAATATTAGAATAAAAATAATTAATATATATATATACTTAATAATACGAATTATCAAAAAGAAATAAATAAAAATATGAAAATAATACATAAGGGACCGTTCATCTGCGGCAAACCTCAAAAAAAATGATTTTTAAAAGCCTTTCCTTCCCTCGTTTTAATTATCCTAGTATTTTTTCCAAAACGGCCTCGGGGTTGTGTAGATCTAAAAGAAAAGTTTCGAACGACAACCCCTTTTCCTCGGCCAAAACTGTTTTTTTTTAAGCACAAAGACGAATAACAACACATGCAAGTGAAGAAAAGAATGCGAAAGGTAAAAGCTTTCATCTTTTATTGCTCCTGAATTGTTTACAATAGCTTCAAAACAATCTATTTGCTCGTATTTTTTTCTGGTAATTTCGTATGCCAATCGTGTGTTACAATAGTGAGCTACAATGGCTATTTATAGTGCTTGTGGATCCTATCTTTAAGAGTTTAAAACATAGCAAAATTCTATCATATTTTTAGGAGTTGAATCCTAGCATAATTCTATCCTATTTTTGAGAGTTTGAATCCTAGTAGGACGAAAAATGTGTGTTGACAGCTGCCCCTCTTTGCCCATAGTCGTGTAACGGGGATAGGGCAAAGATTGAAAAACACACTTTTCGTTCGGTGGAGTTGAAAATTGACTCTGATGTTTCAATAACTCCCTGTCGAATTGAGTTACGGATGACTCCTCCGTCGTGAAGTCGAGTTCATCTGGAAGCTTCTAAGCATTATATCCTTCGTCGTGAAGTTGGAATCGAACTCAAAGCTTTTGGCGAGTGGCCTTTGAATCGTCTTCTGGATCAAGATACTTCGTCGTGAAGGTGAAACTTGACCTGAAAACTTCAGTGTTGATGCGTTATAGATGACTCATTCGTCGTGAAGTTGGGTCAATCTGTTTGTGAAATTGGAATCGTACAGGGCCCCTTCGTCGTGAAGTTGAGCCTGAGATTTGGATATCCTTCGCAATGAAGTTGAAATCCAAATATTGTTCCGAGTCCAATATCCTCCGCTGTGAAGTTGAAATTGGTTCTGGAACCGGGAAATTGTTTGTTGACAGTCAGCTGCCCCTTCGCTGTGAAGTTGAGCTTGTGCTGTCTCGAGTCTAATATCCTTCACTGTGAAGTTGAAATTGACTATGAACGAAATCTTGTTGACAATCAGCCGTCCCTTCGTTGTGAAGTTGAACTTGTGTTGTCTCGAGTCCAATATCCTTCGCTGTGAAGTTGAAATTGGCTCTGAAATTTGAAAAATGTTTGTTGACAACCAGCTGTCCCTTCGTTGTGAAGTTGAACTTGTGTTGTCTCGAGTGGCACGATATCCTCCGTCGTGGAGTTGAAATCGCGGATGAAACTGAAAAGTTGTTCGTTGACAACCAGCCGTCCCTTCGTTGTGAAGTTGAACTTGTGTTGTCTCGGGTAGCACGATATCCTCCGTCGTGGAGTTGAAATTGGTTCTGGAATTGGGAAGTTATTCGTTGACAACCAGTCGTCCCTTCGTTGTGAAGTTGAACTTGTGTTGTCTCGGGTAGCACGATATCCTCCGTCGTGGAGTTGAAATCGGTTCCGAAATTGGGAAATTGTTGTTGGTAACCAACCGTCCCTTCGTTGTGAAGTTGAACTTGACTCTAGCTAAAACCTGAAAAAGTTATGCATATATGTGATGAGATGGATGCAATTCTCTTAGGTATACCTAAAATGCATATGCAACATATGTTATTTTTGGGTTCAGGAGAGAAATCTCGATCTCTGGTTGTTTTTCTGGAATCTTGGTTCTGGAATCTTCAAGTTCTGATCCATGGTCTCAAATTCTTCAAATGTTCAAATCTGATGTGCACATTCTATTTTTTGATTTGAGAAATGCTATCCCAAGTATGTGCCTGAGCTGAGTGTAACGGTTCAGATGATGCTTCAAGAGAAATTGTCTCAAAAGAGACAGAACTCGTTTCAAGGGAAACGATCTCAAAGATATTTGTTGTTTCAAGGGAAACGGTCTTAAGGGAGACAAAATTTTGTTTTAAGAAAAACTGTCTCAAGAGAGACAAAACTTAGTTCCAAAAGAAATTGTCTCACGGGGAGATGAAATTAGTTCCAAGGAAAACATATTCAAAGATGATGCTTCAAGAGAAAACTGTCTCAAGGGAGACAAAATTTTGTTTCAAGAGAAGCTGTCTCAAGAGAGACGAAATTCATTTCAAGGGAAATGTTTTCAATGTTTATGTTTCAAGAGAAACTATCTCAAGAGAGACGAAATTCATTTCAAGGGAAATGTTTTCAATATTTATGTTTCAAGAGAAACTGTCTCAAGGGAGACAAAATTTTGTTTCGAGGGAAACTATCTCAAGAGAGACAAAATTCATTTCAAGGGAAATGTTTTCAATGTTTATGTTTCAAGAGAAACTGTCTCAAGGGAGACAAAATTTTGTTTCAAGGGAAACTATCTCAAGAGAGACAAAATTCATTTCAAGGGAAATGTTTCCAATGTTTATGTTTCAAGAGAAACTGTCTCAATGGAGACGGAATTTTGTTTCAAGGGAAACTATCTCAAGAGAGACAAAACTCATTTCAAGGGAAATGTTTTCAATGTTTATGTTTCAAGAGAAACTGTCTCAAGGGAGACAAAATTTTGTTTCAAGGGAAACTGTCTCAAGAGAGACAAAGTTTGTTTCAAGGGAAACTGTCTCAAGAGAGACAATAGTGAGCACGATTCCCTTCGTCGTGAAGTTGAAATCGTGGGTGGCCCCTTCGTCGTGAAGTTGAGCCAGGAATTGGATATCCTTCGTCATGAAGTTGAAATCCAACTTGAAAATGCGAACTGGATCGGTTCTGAATTATCTTTCGAACTCGTCTGAAGTTGATTCTAAGATCTGTCGATCTTTCAATATGTCAAATTGGTTGAAGTGTAGCTTCTTGCTGCTGAGTTAAGCAACCAACATCAATCTTTAAAGGTACTTTTGATTCGAGTATCATTCGTCTTGAAGTCGAAACTTGGCTCTAAAAGCTGCAAAAATTATGTATGTGGGAAAAAATGATGCTCTAAAATGTATGCATAAGATGCATATAACATGAATTGGTTATATTTTATCTCTTGAAAAAGGCCTGATAATTTGCATTAGGATGTTGAATCCCCAAAGATGCCCAAAAAAATGCTCCAATATTTCATGTTGAATCTTCAAAGATGCCACAAATGTTCCTCATTTCTTGCTTCAGCATTGATTCTGAGCATGAGTTTTGTGTCTAAGAGTCACATGTCATTTACCAAGATCCACTCTAGAGAGACTGTCTTGTTTGAAAAAAAATGTTTTTCTTTCTCTTTTAATATCAATTAAAAGAGTTTCGAAAAATGTTTAATCCCAAGTTTTAAAAATATTGCCCC